AGATTTTAAAAACGTCAGCAGAGGCAAACTTTTTACAAGTGGATGGTTCGCATGTGGAATGAACTTTGAGGAAGGGTGGATTCAGGTACAATTAATAAAATAGATACATGATTAGGAAAGATTTGGAGGGAAATGGGCCAGGTACAGGCAGGTGGGGCCAGTTTTGTTTGGGATTATGTTTGGCATGGACTGGTTGGACCGAAGGGTCTGTTTCCGTGTTGGATGACTCTATGACTTGACTCTATCACAAGCACAGATCTAGATCCAACAATGCAGTGGCAAAATACATTGGTATATCAACACCATCAAAATGAGAAAAAAAAAATTACATTTTTAACAAGTAGTACAATTTGTATACAGACTGATATTCCAAAGAGGTTGAAAGTGTTATCTGTCATAACTTATGGAACATTATTTAAACATGATTATTGCCATCTTGTTATCTTTACTGTCTGAGCTAGGGCACTGGTTGACCCCAGAAACTTAAAAAAAAAACCTTGATTGGAAAATATGTTGATTGAAAAAAAGGATTATGTAGTCCAAATCAAATAATTTGAAGAGTATTACATATGTATTGTATTTTTCATAAATGGATGTTGCATAGATATTATTACTGTTTGATTTGACAAGATACATTGTAAAGGCTTTCTCTCTAAATGCTGCATACTGATGCTCATGCCAAAGTGCACACCTTTATGGATTTGAAGCTGCTTCAACAGTCCTGTCAAATCATCTTAAGTTTGTGGTTATATTATAGGTAACTTGTAAAGGAGACATTAACGAAACACTGGAAAACCGCATGCTGTTATCAAGTGTGGAGTATACTACCATTCATTCCTGCATCTTTAACAACTTCCCAGGGTCACAAACATTCCCACAGTAATTATACTTTCACCGTTTTTATAAACAAAAGCTGTTGTCAGTGGGAATGTATGGGAACCTCAGCAGAGTTCACAAAGGCTAACTGGTTTCTATGGGAACAAGTGAACGTACAAGCTGTGAAAGCATGTATGTATAAAATCATAAGGGCTTTTGTTTTGCATAATCTTCCTTCAACCATCACAAAATTAAATAGTATTAAAAGTTTTATGTTTATCGAAAGATAGAAACAGAAAAATATGGGTTGTTTTGTAATTCACAATTTTAAGTGCAATGCCAGTGGGTACTACGTGGACATATTTACTCTTTCTAAGTGACACTAGTATGTTTATAATTAGTTAGTTTTATTTTGAAATCAGTATTAATTATTTAAATGAGTTGAATTTTACATTCCCACTAAATCAGTAAAAATTGACTGGAAGAAATTAATAAAACTGAAAATGTGGGAATCACAGCATGTCTGAAAGCACCTTGAAATTTTATTGAGGGGAAGTTCTTCATTAGAATTGTTCCAGGTGTACATATGCTTACAAAAAATGTTATCACACATCCAATTCATTGCAACATTACTTCAAATTTGCCTTCAGGCTCAAATGGACTTTGGAATATCCTTGTTAGATGAAGAATATCACCAGTAATGATGGATATTTACAAATGACAGAAATAGATCTACTGCAGTCTTGTTTTTCTATTTATCTTCTTTTTGACTTTCACATTATTGTAACATAGCATTTTACTCCTATCCATTCTTCAGATTAATCAACTCCAATCCTCCTTCACAGATGAATAAAATGACATTCTAATTATTCACCTGGTATTTTCCTTTCTGTATCTTTGAGACAACACTTCCTAGGTAATTGATCATCATCCTAAACAATGTCCCGCAATACCAGAGAAGCACAACATTCTGGTATTGGCCTGCCAGGTCGAGTTAGCTCAGATCTCCCTTCACAATGTGTGGAGACCATTTGTATTTCCCAAGGTGAATTGTCACTAATTGTCACAATCCAACAAGCCTGAAGTTAAACAAAAATCCCAGTGTTTTAACTCTTGATAGGCATAATGCAGTACCAAATTCTTGATTTGAGCAAAACAACTCACCATAAAGTATGAGTGTACTATTAGCATCTTCTTCATCATTGCATGCATACAACAATACGTGAACGAAATGTTAGCGGTTAAAAGTCAGGGCCTTCAAAAAGAACTGAAGGTATCCCGAAATTCTTGACATAGGTCAGGGTACGGCCTTCTGAGAGGGGGAGGTGATGGCCTAGTGGTATTAGCGCAGGACTGTTAATCCAGAGACCCAGATAACGTTCTGGTGACCCAAGTTTGAATCCCACCATGGCAGATGGTGAAATTTGAATTCAATAAGTATCTGGAATTAAGAATCTAATAATGACCATGAATTGATTGTTGGAAAAACACATCTGATTCACTAATGTCCTTTAGGGAAAGAAACTGCCATCCTTAGCTGATCAGACCTACAAGTGACTCTAGACCCACAGCAATGAGTTTGACTCTGAACCAACCTCTGAGCAATTAGGGAATGGGCAATAAATGTTGCCTCGCCAGCGCACCCTCATCATGTTAAAGAATAAAGGGGAAAACAAATCCAGTATTGGTAGATATTGAACTCTGGTAATACATGACAAGCTGGTATAGGAAAACAACTATCTTGATGTTCTGAATCTCTAAGTCAAATGTTGCACACTAGTTTAACATATCATCACCTGATTAATCCACATACAAGTATGTACTACAATGTGCTCCCCTTCCAATGTAGACCAGTGCCCTTTCATCCCATAACATATTTCTACATGGCCAAAGGGTGAGGTCTTAAAGGGGCTATTCAAAGTAAAAGGTAACAGAGAAAATGTGTATCAGCAAGGAAGTGTTATTGCTGATGAGGCATATGAATGGGGACTGAGAACTAATCTTGGGTCTGAAGAGTGGAGGATGTGTGCAGGATTAAATGTGATTCTGGACAGACCAAATAAAACCCTTCCGCTGGAAGCTGAAAACTCCAAACTGTGGAGATCTGTCTTGACAACCTGTATACCAGAGGTTTAACCTGCACTCATACCTTATCTCCGGCAACAATAAAGATTAGGACATCCATCTGTTCATCTTAGTGCAGTTGCAAAGAATATCTCTACTTCAGCAATCTCATCAAGTCCATGCTCTTGCACAAAACCTATGCTTTCTTGACCCCAGTATATTTTTCATTAGCTGATCCTTCCAGTTCATTGTTGCTAGCTACATCTTCAACCACAATGGTCCTGACTTGCCACTTCCTTCCAGAAGCATGGCCAACTTTCTACTAAGCCGTCCAATAGGCTCTTCTTTTTCCCACTCATCATCCATTATCCAGCAAAGCACTTAGAGAATGCAAGTTGTTTCTGTTGTTTAGTTAAAGCTGACTAGAATTGCTTTAGAGATAGTAGGAACTGCAGATGCTGGAGAATCTGTGATAACAAGGTGAAGAGCTGGATGAACACAGCAGGCCAAGCAGCATCAGAGGAGCAGGAAAGCTGACGTTTCGGGCCTGGACCCTTCAGAAAA